TGAGGACCTGCAGACCGAGGTGGAGCAGTGTGGACGAGCGACAGGCTCATCTGCTACTTTCCACTTTTACAATAATGGATTAAAAGTGTTTCTTATTTTGTTGCGGGAGCTGTGAGGTCAGTTTTAGATTCCACACAATGACCAGTTCAATCTTTCACTGTGAGCGCTCTGTTTGTTACTAACACTAACACACTTTATCCAAAGTTCATTTAAAACTTCTCTATAATGCTCTTCTTGTACAGCAACTACATTATTATTGTTGTGTATTATAGTGTTGTTTTGTGTTGTTTTTTGGACTCTTTGTTTATTAATAGGTTCTAAAATATATTTTACCTTCACAATTTGTAATAAAATGGTCTAAATAGTTAGTAAAACAAATATGAACTGAAAATCTTAATCTTAACCACTTATTTTGTTAAATGTAACTTAGAATTGGGGAATGAACAAGTTGAATGAACAAGCTAACTTTTTCAAGAAATGACTTTTTTACCATCACTTCCTCTCATAGAGCACTTTTCTACTCTACCTGAGCACTCAAAGAGCTTATACAACTCTATGCAACATTTTTCTAAGCTTTTCTATGCTTAAATACTCTCTTCCAAAAAAAAAAAGCGGTTTGAATTAACCACAATGGAGGTTATAGGGAACACACAAACTCACTATTTTTGCAGTCTGAAACACTGAAAATTGCCGATCTAGTGAAATTCCAAACAGCACGGTTAAAACGTTTGACTCCAGCTACACGACACCCAGCTGGAAACACTTCACGCAAGTCGAGCTGCCCGAGATTCACAGAATTTACAGAAAATGTAAATTTTTTGTGATTTATCTCGTTATAGGGACGATAGATGTTTTATCTCGGGATATGGAATTTTAGTCATATCGCACAGCCCTAGTATATATTATATCAGAAATCTGTTCACTATTTTTATTACAGATTATATCAGTAAGGAAGCTGACTAAATATTAACTTATGGCAAAAGGGTGGGATTAAACAAGTGTGTACTTCTTCCCACTTCCTTTCAACATGTAAATGAATCAGTACGGTAGCAATATTGAAATGTATTGACTTTTATATAGTATTTTTTTCTCTCTTATTTTCTGTATATTGTTTACATGTTTGAAATAAATTAACAATTAAATGCTATTCTTACACAGGATTGTGTCTGCTCCTCTCTGTCAGCTTATTGCAGCAACTGGACCATCATGCAACATTAAGAAACTGCACGTGTGATTTCAGGAGGATGTCTCAGACTGCCAGACGCAAAGCTGCACTCCAACAGGATGAAAGAACCAACCTCACGTCACCCTGTAAGGACTGATGTTGCCGCTCTAGAAAGTGTCTGGCACACCGGATTTCTGAGTTTCCTGATGGTCTGAATTTCCCTTATTTCTCTTTTAGTTAGAGAACACTCTGATCACCACGCAGGGTGATCTCTACAGGGAGGGGGGTACAATTTGATCCCCACCAGGGATGTAAAACTATTTAGCAGAGTGAGGAAGGAAGGACCAGACGATGGGAAAGCTAACTCTGCTTATTGGTATTATTATTAATAGTAGATTTCATCATTATTTTAACTGCTGAGAACAAAAACATTTCTTAAATACGGGACAAATAAAGCATTTCTCATCTCGTGATGTTTGCATACTCTGGTCCAGAGCAACTTATGTTCAGATTTCTGTTTTAAACTCAGCCGAAAGCGCTTTACTTTGACCAGTACACGCAATTTTAATGATGTTCTATATGAATGATTAGCTGCAATATACAGGACCTTACCCAATTAACACGTTATTAACGCTAAATGAGCATTTAAAAACGGCCGAACTACAAAGACAACTCTTGTGTGCGCGCTGGCAAATCGTCCGGACGCCACACTTTACCCTCAACTTTAAGTTCCGCCGTTTAAAAAAATCCGCCACAATAATTCTATTAAACGTTAATATTCACATTTGAGATCCACGGATGAAATAAAAAGCTCTGAGATTTTATTTATGTGTTTATTTTTGTGCACGTATACAGATCAACGAAAACCGATGTTTCCGATGTGAAACACCTTTTCACAAACCCCACAGCGAGCTAACAGTTAACCCGATCAAACAGTAAATGTGTTTTTATTCTCACCGGCGCTTTGGCTCGTTTCAGCATCCTGCTGCCGTTTAATCTCGGGCTTCTCCTCAGCCAGACTGTCGGCATTCAGCTGATGGAGATAATCCACCTCATTCATGATGGTGTCCGTGTCTTTGCTCTCTTCTTTAAAATAAACTGCAGGCTCGGCGGAGCTGAAACCGGGCCTGGGCAGAATCGATCACCGCCGATCACCTTTCACGATCACGCCGCTTACGTTTCTGTTCATCCATGAATACGTCACCGGGGAAGATACAGATTGAAACGGGACACTCAAATGATTCCTCACAACATTTATTGCCCTCTGCTGTGTTTTGAACAGGCATCTGCACGGACACCTTTCCTGTCCTCGGCGGTGAGATCACCGCTGTGGAGCGACGAGAGTGCAAAAATGAAATCACTAAATACATCAAATAATGATTAAATGTTTAATTAATTGATTCAATTAACCAGGTTATGGTCTGTTGATCAGCCGCAGTGACAGTTTCAATTATTTCAAGATGGACAGCAACACATGAACCATGACATAATTAAAATATCTACTATTGTTTCTCCATTTAACTAACTAATGATACATTTAATTACTATATTGTGTTTTTATTTATTTTTTAAAATTGATGTAATGATGTTTTTTTTTTTCCATTCTTGACCTTGGAGGGTTATTTCCTTTCTATAAAGGATAGGAGACATTTTTTTTCCTAAATTTTAAAAATTCCTTTTTTAAATATGTTTAGTTTTATTTATGTAGAACCGGTTAAAAATGTCTCAAGGTGTTTAAAGGTTGCGTCCCTCTTTACGTGGGACATTTCGATTGGCACGCAGACTCTTTTTCTCAGGGGTTTTCATTGCATGTGTGTGACGAAAAGCTGTCGTCATGAGTCTCCTGAATATTTAAGTCACTGCAAAGTCATATTCAATGTAAAATAAAATGAAAGCTTCTACAAATAAAAAGAAATGCAGCTACAACACTGATTACGTTCCTAAATACAGTATTGTTCAAAAGTCTCAAGCCAAACCCCATGTAATTATATCTTGCTGGGGAAAATGGAAAACAGGTGCAGTAATTGTTTAAAACGTATACAAACATACACATAGATACAGTAAATAAGGCAAAAACAGATTTAGTAAAATTAGAATGAGCTTGAAATTAATATTTGGAATCATAAAGGTGGTCAGCCTTTATTCCTCAATACATCCTGAAATCTTAGAGGCAGTTTTTCTATCTGGGTAGGCTTTCATTATATTGGATTTGTATTTATTTTATTTTTTTAAATTGAATTTAGTTTCTACTCAGTAAATAGTTGATCAAAATTATAAAAATTCAGTAAAGTAATAAACATTATTTTAAAACAATATTAAAGATTAGTTGGTATAATGAGATTTGCTTCTAATTCTAAAATCTAAGGAAATAATGCTTATTTCCTTCAATTAATGGTAGAGAATTATTGTATTTGCAAAAGGAACATTGAAACAACAGAACACTTGTTTTATGAGTGTAAGACTGTTACACAAATGTTTGGAAATACCATCATAAATAAATGTACAGTTCCAGAAGTAGATGTAGATTTCTGGTCTTTTCAAAATACTCGAATGGGTAATCCTCAAATATAGAAGATACACTTTTAATAAAGAATATGATAATCATAATCACAAAATTCTATAATTCTACATGAATGTAACTTTTTTAGGCCAAACATGAGGGAGAACACTCATGGTTTTTAATTTACAAACAATGTGTAATTATACTTTCAGTGGTGAAATGGAATTGCTTGATATTGAGTTTGTTTATGTATTATTCTGCTTATGTTCCAATAAATTAAGCAGGTTTTAGATGTGGAATGGAGCAGGGAGAAAAGAGCAAGGCAGAAATAATTAAGGGCAGAAAACTGGTTTAGATCAGGCTCATGTGTGCAAATGAATTACTTGAAAAGTGGCTGCTTATGCTGCTGGGTCCACTCCCCTTTTTGTTGTGTAGCCTGCTCACACTGATGTCTTTCACTGTGTGTTGGATTAATTTTTTCCTGCCCCTTGGGACTCAGTTTTGCATGCGCTGAAAATAAATGTCTTACTTTTTAAACATTCTGCCTCTTGTGTCTTCCATTCTGGATTCTTTGAAAACCTAAACATTACACTCAGTTTGCACACTGTGACAGCCACAAGCTGATTGCTTCCATGCCACACTACACTGATGCTGTGATTCATCCTCAAGAGCCCAATAAAGGTATAGTAAAATATAAACAGACATACTTTTATTGAAATTGGACATTTATGTGTTATAAATCCTTTTTGATTGACTGTACTTATTCCACTTGGAACCTCATGCAGCACACAAAAGTATTAAACTAAAAGTTGCAGATAAATTCATTCTGCTCTGCTGCTTTGATGACGATTTTATGAATGAGGTATTGAATGAGTGTCAAAGAGAAGAAAAAAAACCTGCCAGCAAACAGGTTAATGTTACAGACAGACTTATTACAACAGTAAATGACTCAGAGTTTAAGTTTTTATTTAATTCATTTTTTCTTTCATGCAGGTAATTCCACTGAGAATTATCTTATTTACAAGAGCAGCAGGATTTTTTGGACAACTTGGAGGAATAAGTTGTTTGCATAATATTTTGTGACAATAAAAATGAAATCCCCACGTATAAAAGAGAAAAGGATGGCTTTTGACTGGGTGTAATGCGACTGTCTTAGATATGTGACAGTATTTTAACATATTGTTTGCATTATAGGAATTAGAGGGTAATTATTTTAGAAATGTAATTTTGGACACTTAGATTTAGAGAAGGACAGTAAGAGGCAGTAAAGCGATATAAACTGATGTCCGGTGCCTTTAAACTGCCAAAGAAGCAGAAGAAGGGCGTCCGTGTAGATGCCTGCTCAGAACAGAGCAGACGTAAACAAATCTTTCGTAAAATCACCGATGGCAACTGCTGTCCTGTTCGGGTCTCTGCGGGTTCCTGTAATACATGGATGGGTGAAGGCTGACGGAGGTTCGATCAGCATGACCTTCGCGCTGATCGGTGATCGATTCTGCGCAGGCCCGGTTCATCTTTAAGGAGCCTACAGTTGATTTTAGAGAACAAACACGGGCATCATGAAGGAAGTGGATTGTGTTCAGCAGCGAAACACAGACAGTCTGCAGACTGGAGGGCAGCAGCTGCAGCAGCACGATGATGATGCTTTAAACCAACCTGGTAAGAGAAGTCGCATTAATTAGATTCAGTGTTTCTAGGATGGGGTAAGAGTGGCTGGAAAACTCCCGACTTATAATAAAAATTGGTCTTCTTATATAGTATGTCCAAAGAATCGATTCTCTTATTATATAATTAGAATAACTTTGTAATGACGGACCGAAAAAGATTGAATTTAAAGAGAAGGTTTAGTGCAACCCGGACTGTTTTAGAGTGGGCACACAACAGAGTTGTTTCTGTGTGATTTTATGTGCAGTGCTTTGCTGCTATTAGTAAACTGACTGCAGTCAACGAGATTCATGAAGGGATATCTATCTATCTGTCTGTCTATCTGTCTGTCTGTCTGTCTTTATATATAAAATTGCAACTTAAAAATGGAATTTTTAATGTCAATGAGACTTTTTAGCTGGATAAAGAAAAAATATATAAAAGTCACTTTGCAAAATACCTATTGCAGCTTTAGTCATCATGAGAAATATGTATATGTTTGACAAATTTGTCTCAGATTATAAGCAAACAAGTAATTTACAGCAGTTTAAATACAGGCATCGATTTCCAGACCACTCCTCTCCCCAGAGATGTTCCTCAGTCAGCTGATAACCATAACCTGTCCAGTGTGTGTCGTGTGGGTTTAGTGGTTACAAAGTGATGTACAACTAAATAAAGTAAAAGAAATAAGAAAATGAAGTGCTGAAACAGCAAACAAACAAACAAATATGTATATATTAAGTCAAGACAACATGAAGTGAAGATTGCATAAAAACCAATAAGAAGTTGAAAAAGTTTTAACTGCTTTTTAAAAGAGTCCACAGAGTCCACAGATTTTAGGATATAATTCAGGAGGAGCTGTAGTCATGGTCTTTGTCTTGTTGGCATTTAGAAAAAGTTAAATTCAAGAGAGTCAATCACTAATCCAGGTCAAATAGTGGACTAGGGTTGACAGACCAGCTGGTGAGACATAAAACCAAAGAATTATCTGGAGCTGTTGTGGTTACACTTTATTTATTAATGTTTTTCTACCACAGCAGAGAAAAAGTGAGCGAAGGAAAGGGAAACCATCCAAGTAGAAAAGAATGGCCGAGGGAGACTCGGTTACAGACACCAAGGATGAGCATTCCTGTCACATTTCCCTGAAGTCCTCCTTGTCCTTGTCCTGCAGACGAGTCAGCAGTCATAAAAAGCTGTAGCACACCTTTTACAAACAAACAATGCTCCTGCCTTATCTGTGCCCTCTGATAACTTTTTATTTTTATTTTTTTAATTAAAATTGTTTAAAATTGTATTTGATTTTAGTTTTTTCCTGATAAATAATCATGCAGCATTACAGTTTTGCTCACATCATGTTTTTCTGACTACGGTATTATTAGAAAAATGTAGACTTTTTTTTTAAAATAATAAATAAAAATTTGGGGTGACAGTTGAACTTGTCTGTTTCAGTGTCTTCTGCCGAAGTCCAGCAGCTGTTTGTAGTTAAAGAAGAAATTCCTCCTGAATGGTCTCCCAGTTTGGACCAGCAGGATCGAGAGCTGCTCCACATAAAGGAGGAAGAGGAAGAAATCTGGACCAGTCATGAGGGAGGACCGCATAATGGGCAGGAGGAGGCTGAAATCACAGGTGTCCTGTTCACTGCTGTTCCTGTGAAGAGTGAAGATGATGAAGAGAAACCTGAGTCTTCAGATATTCATCAGAGCCAACCTGGAAACTGCACAGAGGCAGAATCTCCGAGCAGCTGCTCAGCTGAAAAGATAAAAGCTGAAGCTGGTGCAGAGGACTGTGGAGGACCAGAATCAACCAATGGCACAGACTTAAAAAGTAATTTACAACCAAAAACTGATGAAAAAACTTCAGACTCCTCTGAGACAGAAGTCAGTAATAATGATGATGAAGATTGGCAGGAACCTTTGTCAGATTATGCACCTGAAACTGAAGACAGTGATAACAGCTGGAAGGAGAGCAGTGCACTCGGGAGTGAAGTTTGTGATGGAAAATGTAGCCAGTCTGAAAATCTAAAGGGACACAGGAGAGATCATACAGGACAGAAGGCATTTTGTTGTGGCGTTTGTGGTAAAAGATTCACCCGACAAGGGGATCTAAAGAGACACCTGAGGGTCCACACGGGAGAGAAGCCATTTGATTGCAGTTTTTGTGGCAAAAGATTTAAACAGCAGGGGGTTCTTAAGAGTCATATGAGAATTCACACTGGAGAAAAGCCCTTTGCTTGCGATGTTTGTGGAAAAAGATTTATCCATCAGTCAAATCTCAAGTCACACACCAGAGTTCACACGGGAGAGAAACCATTTAGTTGTAGCATTTGTGGTAAACATTTTACAGAACAGGGGAGTTTGAAGAGGCACAGAGGAATCCACACAGGACAGAAGCCCTTTGGATGTGGCATTTGTGGGAAAACATTTAGCCGGAAGACACATTTTAATATACACATGACCGTCCACACGGGAGAAAAACCATTTGACTGTGGATTTTGTGGTAAAAAGTTTAGCCAGAAGACACACTTTAAGATCCACATCAGAGTCCACACTGGAGAGAAGCCCTTCAGTTGTGATGCCTGTGGAAAAAAATTTAGACTTCAGTATAATCTTAAAAGACACATGAGAGTCCACTCGGGAGAAAAACCATTTGGCTGTGATGTTTGTGGTGAAAGATTTACAGAGCAGGGGAGTCTTAAACGGCACAGCGGAGTTCACACTGGAGAGAAACCATTTTGCTGTGACGACTGTGGTAAAACATTCAGTCGAAATACGCATCTTAAGAGACACATGCGGGTCCACACGGGAGAGAGGCCTTTTGGTTGTGACATTTGTGGTGAAAAATTTACCGAGCAGGGGGTTCTGAAGAGTCACATGAGAGTTCACACAGGAGAGAAGCCATTCGGGTGTGACGTTTGTGGGAAGAGATTTAGACATCAGTATACACTTAAAAGACACACGGGTGTTCACACAGGGGAGAAACCGTTCTCCTGTGGTGTTTGTGGCGAAAGATTTACGAGACAGGGGAATCTAAAGAGACACATGCGTATTCACACATAATAATCTGCACTTCCATGCTTGTAAAATCAGCAACTGTATCAGTAAGAAGTACGTGATTTCATTGTATTTGTAAACTTTTTTATGTGTGTATTTTAAAGTTTATAATAAAAAAAGAACTTACCCAGGATGGTGGGTATTTATGATGCTTTGCTTCAGATGATATCTGATTATTCTGTGATGTTATTTTTTTATGCTGTGAGCTGTCAGTCATTCACAAACTGAGACTACCTATATTACAGGTGTCAAACTCAAAGATCTGGAGCCAACTCTACCTCTTTACACATTTGATTCTGATTTGTATGTTTTTAAAATCATTGTGTTGAATGTTTCTTTTCCCTGCAGAAACGTCTCAGGTTCTTTTTCAACCCCTTTTCTGATTTATAAATTATTATATCATGAAGAAAGGTGAAGAAATGGCCATAAACAGCTGCAGTGTTTTCAGTTATGGAGAGGCCATATAGAGGGGTCATAGTAAGTGACCCCAGCTTTTGTGCTGTTATTTGCACTTCTACAGAAAATGTCTCTCCTGCTTTGTAGAATTTCAACTTTAAGACATATTTTAGCACTTTTATAGCTGTGGCTACATTTCTCTAAGTGTATTGTGGGTCTATGGCTGTACTTATGCTTGCTGGTTCATGGTGTGGTTTAAAATAGGTTGTTTATGTGTCAATTTGTTGTGTGACCTGTAAAGGTGGCCCATATACAGGTTTAATAATGATGTGGAATTACTTGTTGCAGTATTATTTTAGATCTAAATCTAATGGGTCTTACTGAACAGTTTAGTTGATAACCTCTTTTCTGTGGACATACCTTGTGTGAGTGCAACCCATGCCCAACTGCACATCACTGACAGTATGAATATCTTCTCAGCTTGTTTTTCAAAGTGAGCTGAGCCAAATACCTCCACCTGAGGCACAGGTGAGAACACATATATTTACATTTTAGGTTTAGGAATCATGTAAACAGTGTCCATTGGTGTAAAAAGTTAAATATATTGGATAAGAAATAAAACATGTTATCACCACAGCAGAGAACTTCTGAAAAAAATGTTTAGACAGTGTTGTAGATGATTCCATTAAAAATGCATCAGCAGAGCAAACAAACACTATACCCACACAGAGACTACAGATCGTCACCATATTAGGTGTTCTTTAAGTCTTTTATGGTCTCTGGCAATATCCAGTTTTTCATATTTAGCCAAAAACATTTGAACACAGGACCTGAGAGAAAAAACATGTCCTGGTTTCAGCAGCCTGTTCTCCTTTGTTCTCCCTTGTTCCTCTTTCCCCCCTCTCTCTCTGTCTTGCTCTCAGGTGGAGTAGGGGCAGTGCCTTGGCTCACTGTACCACCCATGGGTGGAGCTGCCCTACTTTCTGGTCCAGCCTGCACATCTGCTTCCCATTTTCTCATCACCCCTCTGGAATAAAAGCCCAGCTGAAACATTCACTCTTTGCCTCTCAGGTTTCCAAACCTTATTACTTGTTGGTAAGTGGTTCCTAGTTCTCCAGTCCAGTACTCATACTGGAATACTCACTTGTCCTCCCACACTCCACCCCTTCTGCCCTCCAGAACCATCATCTGCCTTCCCCATCAGTACATCTAAATTAATCTAATCAGTCAGCAGATACTGGTTTAAGGACCCCCTACTTCCCTGTCCAGTTCTCCTAGAGTAACAATCTGTCTCCTGGAGTCTCCTCCACGCTGGGAGACACAGCAAACCTTCTAGCACTGCTACATATTCATGTGCCATCCTGGAGGATTTGGACTAGCTGTGCAACCTCTCTAGGGTCCAAATATCGCCTCAAGCTACCAGTAGTGACACTGATCCTAGCCAAATGCAAAACTATTGAAAAAAATAGTCAGAAAAAATGAGAGTGGCCTCCACCTGTAACACCATAACTGTTTGGGGGGTTGTCTCATCATTGCCCCTCTATATCCCAGATGTTTAACTGATTAACTAATTCTATACTCCGATTAAAAAGTGCTCTTTTAAGTTTTTAGGACAGTGTATTATGTGTCTGCCTGTGTTGTATACAGTATTCGTAGCTCTTGAAAATGAGACACTGAGCTCAATGTGATTGTCTGTTTAAATAAAGGATTTAAAAATAAATCAACCAACCAACCAAAAAATAATAAATAAATAAATAAATAAATAAATAAATAAATATCATGATGTTTATTTCAAATTAATTACTCTTAAGAAACCAAATGATCAACTTTCCAAGGGAGGCTCAAAGCCACAACTGGATTTATCTAAGATTCAATATGAAACCTAACCCTTTCATTTAAGACAGAATTTTGTTGTAATGAAATTAACATACAGAAATTAAAAGTGCAAAAGATAAGCTAACGATAAGCTAATTTATATATCTAGAAAAATAAATGTTAACATAAATAAATGTTAAATGCCAGAAGACATTTTTAAACAGACTTCTTTCCTGCGAAAAACACTTTTGACCTATGGTTCTATTTATTTCTTTTTTTAGAAGCCATAAAATTCTTTTTAGAGTTAGAAAAGTTTTGTATCTAATTTGTGGATACAAAACTTTAAAGGAAATATCACGAGGTTGGTTACAAAGTACTCCTGTCAGGTACAATGAATTTTAATTTTCTCACTGAAGTCCCACGCTGTGACAGGATTCATAAATCTGCAGGTTTCCCCACAGCTGTGATTTTTTTTAAATCTCGTGGTCGCTGCGGTGACCTGGGATAAAGGTGCCCGAGCGGATGCCTGCTCAGAAAACGCAGGAGACACGTCAACAAATCTTCCCCCAAAAAAGAAGTCAAGGAGAGTGGACGCCCTGTTGGAGTCCGTGTCTGTGACACATTCATGCATCAGGTCCGGACAGACATGCAAACATCGCGTCTGTGTTCGGAAGTCGATTCCGCGCAGGCCTGGTTCGTCTGAAAGGAGCCCACAGTTTGTTTTAAAGAAGAGGATAGCCGCTGACAGCATGGACGAAGTGGATTATCTGCAGCAGTACGCCGCTGACAGCCTGCCGTTTGAAGAAAAACCAGAGATCAAACCGCTCGGACTCCATCAGCTGCAGGATGCTGATATTAACCGAGCCGATGGTGAGAATAATCTCAGATTTTATTTGGAGAAAACCGCTAACTAGCTGCTAGCTCGCCGTAGGGCTGGATAAATTTGGTTTTAATCTAAGATGTTTGATATGAAGACACAATCAGGTCCTTAACGGGTCTTTAAAATGATTTAAAAACAGCCTGAGATGGATAGCAACCGATATTACACCGTGTCGTTTATTTATTGAACAAAAATCTGAACCCAAATGAAGAAACAGTTTGTGGACAACTAAATGCACTCCATGATTCAGCCGCTGCAAAACCACCTTTAGCAGAAATAACTTGAAGTCGCTGTTGTGTGACTTCGGAGGAATTTTTGGCCCACTCTCCTTCAGGGCATTGCTTCAGCTCATTGAGGTTTGCGGCATTCATGTATGCACAGCTCTCTCTTAAGGTCCCGCCGCAGCATTTCAGTCAGTCTGAAGTCTGGACTTTGATCGGCCATTGCAACATGTCCATTCTTCCCTTTTTCAGCCTGTCTGTTGCAGATTTTCTGCTGTGCTTGGCATCGTTGTCCTGTTGCATGACCCAGTTTACACCAAGCTTTAGCTGTCAGACAGATGGCCTCACATTTGACTCCTGGCTGCAGCCTACTAAGCAGTAAGGATGTGCCCAGTTTTTCATGCATTGCTTCTGTGCATGCATAAAGAGTCTGTAGTGTGGGGTGTTTATTACCAAGAACATTAAATAAGCCAAATAATTATAGTTGGTTCTCACAACAAGAGAAAGTGATAACAGTGTCAAACCTGAATATAATACATTTAAATGAGCAACAGGCTCAAAGTATCACTTCTGTGATGTGCAGCTGTTGCATGAGAAATACGTTTTTTGCCATGTTTTGCTCTGTTGACTTATTTGCAGTGCTAGGGTGGCCTATACACAGGTGTGTGGTGTCGATGCATCGTTACAGGGACCCCAAATATCAATATTTTATGAAATTAATTAAAATACTTGTTAAACATGCATTAAATTGGCTCAACTGAAAAACCATCCAACACTGGACCCTTAACTTGACAGATCTACCTCGTACTTCAGGGTAAGCTAATCGTTCAGTCACATGAGTACAAATTAGACAGCAACCTCCTTACATCTACAAAAATAGTGATTGTGTTTTGTATTTTTCACATTCTGCATATTCTGGTTGCCCAGAGCTTGAAGTTGTTGCACTCATGACCACTTTTGGTTCCAAGGTCACGGGTAGTCTGATTGGAGGAAACCTTTCTGCAAACAGTTGCAGTCTGACTTGGACTTGAGTCCACAGACGTGTGATTCTTGACAATTTATTACATGCAATTGCATATAATTGCCAACCTGACTCCATTTAGCTGCAGACTAATTAATAATTGAAGCGAGATAAACTTTGTCTTATTAGATAAAACTGATATTGACGAAGTTTAACTTTGGCGACATCATTTGCAGTTAAAAAAGGCGATGAATTGAAATATGTTGTTGCAGTACTCGGCATATCGCAAAATATAAAAAATTCAAATGTTGTTTTATTGTGAAAATACAGCATTGTGTAGTGTCTGCTGGTGATTGCCACATCTACTTATTTCTGTTAATATTTTGATATTCTTTCTATATTCCTCTTGCATCTCTGACTGACATGACTATAAGTCTTCTCAAGCCGGCTAACATACAGAAATCCAGGTTATGCAGAACTTGTTTTATAATACGCCTGACTGTATTCACAGCTTAAACATATCAGGGCATAATAAAAACCCGTGTGCTCCTTAGCAGGTGTTCAGTCTATGTCTGACGTGAACAGCAACACGTGACGTAGTCCACAGTTTCAGAAACTTAGCCTACATGTAGAAGCACTATGTGGAAAAACTGCCTCCACAGCAGTTGCGACGTAGCATCCAGGAGTCAAACGTGAGGTCACCTGTCTAACAGCTGAAGTTTGGCCTGAACTGGGTTATATAACAGGACAGTGATTCCAAGCACAGCAGCAAATCTGCAACAGACTGGCTGGAAAAGGGGGCAGAAAGGTGTTGCAATGGCCTAGTTGAAGTCCAGGCTTCAGCTTGATTGAAATGATGTAGTGGGACCTTAAGAGAGCTGTGCATAAATGAATTCCTGCAAACCTCAATGATCTGAAGCAACACAGTAAAGAGGAGTGGGCGAGAATTCCTCCACAACAGTGGGAGCCTGATAAAGTCATACAGAACATGATTACTTAAAGTTAGCGCTGCCATACATGCTTCTACGAGCACAGGCTTTTATCGGGTTGTTAAACCAACACAGGGTTTGGCAAACCAGCCACGAACATGTTCACATAATGGAGCCTTTGTGTGCCGTGCATGACAAAACGCAAACGCAGACATGTCTACAGCAGAGCAGCGCATTTCACAAAGAGCAAACTAACATTAGAAAATGGAAGAAGAGGTTGAACACGTAATACACCTCACACACACTTAGGGCTGCCACGATTTGTCGACTAGTCACGATTACGTCGACTATCAAAATCGTCGACGACTGATTTAATAGTCGACGTGTCGTTTGAAGCTTTGTAAGATCGCAAAAGACGCAGGAATGAGTAGCAGGATTTAAGAGTGTAATAACGGACTGAAACAGAAGATGGCAGCACTGCATGTACAAGGATGCCAGCTGCCGTTAAACCCCGAAGAAGAAGAAGCAGCTGTGTCCCAGAATTCATAGCGCGGCCCAGCTCATTTTCCAACAATGGCGGCAGCTAGTTAGTTTTAACTTTACTCTTATTATTCTTTCTGGGTCACAAAATAAACGTTTAACATATTTTCAGGCGAGAATGTAGCTGTGTAAACCTCAAATATCGGCTCAGTTTATCAGGACACCACATATTTTCAAAAGCGCTCCGACGTTTTCGGAGACGTCTGTTACCCACTAGCTCGATAGCTAGCCGGAGCTAGGTCACTAGCACCGTGAGAACACCGGACTCCCGGCAAATTGTTTTCAAACCCACCGCCGTCTTTCGCTACTCAGGTTAAACATGATATATGAGTCACTTAGATAAATTAAAAATGTTGTTGTTTGGCTTTTTTTTTTTTTTTTTTTTTTTTTTTTTTTTTTTTTAGTATTTTATTTGTTCCTGAGTAAATCAGTTTGTCTGAGATTAAAGTTATAGTTTTTACACAGCTGAATAAACGTCAAGCAGACAGCTGATTATCAGAAGTGTGAGATGCTGGAGAATATACTCCGGTGTCCTGTTATATTTTAGATAGCAAGGAGTTTATTCAACTTTACCGAAACAATCTGCAAATTTCATTAAAATTGAATAAACTATCATCTTGTCTTTATTTTTAGTTAGCACCTTAAAAGCTTAAAGCTGTAAGCTAATGATAGTTATAGAAGAGCAGATGCTGCTGGTGCAATAAGCTGTAGTTTTAAGTCCAGTGGATGATGATCTGATTAGTCGACTAATCGCATAAATAATCGGTGACTAGTCGACTATCAAAATAATCGTTTGTGGCAGCCCTACACACACTGTGTGTAGCATTAAAAAGCACTGTTCATAGTGAGTACACGTTAGTGTGCTGTGGGTTTGTAAGATCTTTAAAGTTATATTCAGTCTGTTTAACGCCTTTTATTCTGAAGCAATGTGTCAAATACGAACCATAAGTCGTAGGAGGCCATAAGTCAAATATGAGCCCATTTGTGTGATGGCTTAAAGCTTGGCTGAAACTGGGTCATGTGGTAGGACAAAAGAAAATCTGCAGTGGAATGGCTGTTGCAATGGTTTAGTCAAAGTCCGTGTGTGTCTGCAGCAAAGCAGAGTATTTCACAATGAAGAGCAAACTGTAGTATTAGGGAAAAAGTAGGAAGAGGTTAGATGCAACACAGATCACAGTGTGTAAGTGTGATGGGAAAAGCACAGTTATTAATCTGTGCATGCTTTGCGTGGTCACCAGTTCTGGAAAAAAAATTGTATACATTCAACAGCTGAGAGGAAAGCTGGCAAAAATGCTGACCGTGCAAGTTATTAGACTCATTAGTATCTCAGTCGAGTCCGGACTTGCTGAAGACTCTCCTCTTTAGGCTGCAGAGTCCGTGCTTTCATAAAGGAATCTCAAGTTTCGGTCCATCTGACCACAGAACAGTTTTCCACTTTGCTTCCGTCCAGTTTAAAGAGAAGACTTTGGCCTTTCTGGGTCCTGTTCACATGTGCCTCCTTCTTTACATGATGGAGCTTTGACCTGCATGTGCGGATGGCACCGTGAGCTGTGTTCAGACAGTGATTTCTTGAAGTGTTCCTGAGCTCATGCACTGACTTCCATGACAAAATTTCCTTTTAATTCAGTGCCGCCTGAGGGCATGAAGATTACGAGCACCCAATATAGATTTTCAGACTCTCCGTTGTGCACAGAGATGTTCAAATTCTCCAAAATTTTACATTCTTCTAAAAAAAAAGTTCCAAAGTTTGCAGCTTAGTAAACCTCTGCCCATCTTTACTTCTGAAAAACTCTGCTTCTCTAAGATGTTCTTTTTATAACCAATCATGTTACTAACCTGCTCCCACTGGGTTACAAAAAAGAAATATGGTTGAATTATGTTTCTTATTTGCATTTTACATAACATTCAAACCTTTTTGAAATTAAGTTTTTAAAATTTCAAGAAATAAAAGTTCTATGTTAGGGTTAGATCACCATATTGAGTCTTATAGAAGAATTAATTAGATTTAAAGTTTAAAGAAAAATAAGAAACTATATTTCTTTGGTCATCAGGGAAAAACAAAGCTTAAGTTGGTTTTACAATCTTTAGACAGGTCCATCTGAGATCATCTGTTCATCTGAGAAACAGCACTGTTTTCCAGTTGGTGGTGGTTTTGTATGTCCCATATCTTGACCGTAACCTTCTGTGGAGGTTAGGTTTGCAGTAATTTTTATGTAACCTGGTACAAAGTTAGCTTGTAGTTCAGACTTTGTTGTAGAAAAATAAGTCTTGGCAGACTAGCCGTGTGGAGCAAACTGGAGCTTCTCATTGTTTAAACCACCATGTCAGAAGATGTAGATCTATGTTTGTGGAACAGATGTTACTCAGCTTCAGATTGCCCTGAATTAAGCAGAGAAAATGACTGAAATTACTGAAAGTGGCACAGGATCTCTCTGATGCATTTCTTTTAAAACCTGGAAGGATATAGTGGTGAACAATCTTCTCCAAAAAATCTTGAATGATCGTGACAGGAGATGACTGAAGCGTTTGAAGTCAGATTGAGGAAAAAAAAAAATCAACAGTGGAACTCTCGGCTGTGTTTTAATAGTTAAATAGCATTTCCACATGCACAATGGAAAGAGTATTCAAGGGATGGGGACTAAACAGCTGCTGAGCTTTAAGAAAACCATTAAAAAGGGCTTCAGTTTGGTAGAGAGCATACTGATTGAAAAAGGTCATGTGGTCTAAGTCCAGATTTACCTGATCCTGAGTGATGGCTGCATCTGGTGGTGAAGAGAGGCTGATTAGTTGATGCACCTGTCATCGGCCCTTCTACTATATGCAACCAGCTGGGCAGTGTTAAGGTCTAAGCTTGCTTTAGTGGGTTAGTTCAGAAACAATGTGTTCAAACACTAAGGTCACCTGACTACCTAAATATTCTGAATGACCTTGTCATCGTTGAATGTTTTTGTTCCCTAATTGAATGTGCATGTTTAAAAACGACAGTGCCAGGGACCATGAAACGCCATCTTTACACGTGCAAGTAAAGGTATAATTTGCAAAAAACCCCCAGCTGCTACTATTGTTCTAGCAAGATATTAACTCATGGTTTTTAATATAAGATAGACAATGATCATTACATTACAGTAATGTTTATAATTACTAAAACAGTATTAAATGATCCTCACCCATAGAAATGTGTATACTTGTAAATGTGATGTGTATTTTTAGTTGAATAACTGGTGACTGGTAAATCTTGATATACTCTATTCCTAACATCATACTTTGCTGTGCAGTATAATTGGACCAGTTTGTCTGGCTCACACTCTGGGCACCACTAGCTCACTTGGAACAGTTGATGGATGCAGTCTGAATACATAAACTGTCGGCTTATCGTGAGCTGGAAGTAATGGCTGGTTATTGGACCCGTACAGTGTGTGTAGAGGAATTGCAGGATCTGGCTGCCCGGAGAGACTGATTAAGGCTACGTACACGGGTGTTTTTAAAACGCAGATTTTTCTGTGCGTTTGCACCTTTCGTCCTCACGTAAACGGTGTTTTCGGTAACTGAAAACGGAGATTTTTAAAAACGCCTGCTAGGGTGGATATTTTTGAAAACTTCGTTTTTGCGTTTACGTGTGGACGAGGAAAACGGAGAAAATGCAGCGTCAAAGGTGTGCGCATTTTTTGACGTCACACTGTGCGCCACGTTATTGTTTCGGTGAAATGAATTTCTACAATGGCGGACTTAAACAAAATACTGTTACTGTTAATTTTACTCTCTGCAGTGTTTAAATGCTGACATACACACAGTTACTGTCCCTCCACACATACCACTCAGTTCTGCTTCTATGCCCCAGCTTTGTTTACTTTTTCCCACCGAGGCTTCTAGACTTCTGATTGGCCAACATTTCTACACAGTTAGGAATATATCGCCACCTGTTGCTTTTACATGTTCCTAGTAGTGTTTTCCTTTAATTTTGCGTTTACGTGTGGATGGGATTTTTAAAAAAACAACGATAAAAAAACGGAAAATCTCCATTTTCAAAAATACCCTTGTGCGTGTGGACGTAGCCTAAAACTCAGTGAATACGTGGTGTGAGTTAAAACGCACTACAAGGATTTCAAACTGCTGAGGATGAGTGTCGGTGTATTTCAAATCGGTTATCGATGTAAACGTGTTTCATTGTTGCCTGCAGATATTCAGCAACTTGTGGTGATCAAAGAAGAGGCTCCATGGGACCAGCATTACTCGGAACACCTCTACATAAAGACAGAGCAGGAGGAACTGCTGGCCAGTCAGGAGGGAGAGCATCTTAATGGGTTCGAGGAGACTGAAATCACCGGGTTTCCATTCAATATTCTAGTAAAGAGTGAAGATGATGAAGAGAAACCTCATTTTTCACAGCTTCATAAAAGCCAAACTAAAGACTGCACGGCGGCTGAGCCTCCAAGCAGCAGCTTGACTAAATGGATTAAGATAGAAACTTACGGAGAGGACGGTAGATCACTAGAACTAGCCAGGAAACCTGATCCCAGTACTCATTTACAAACAAATATTGTTAAAGGGGCTTCTGACTCTTCAGAGACGGAGGTCAGTGATGAGGATTGGCAGGGCCCGTTGTCAGATTCTGGACCTGAAACTGAAGACAGTGAGAATGGAAAGCTCGAGTCGGGCGTTCCTAGTGAGGCGGGACATAACACTCCGAAAAAAAACTTTAGCTGCTCTGCGTGCGGTAAACATTTTGTCTACAAGCAGTCTCTTAAGAGGCACATCAGACGTAATTCAGAAAATGGTTCTTCAGGCTGTTTGGATAACATGAAATGTTTTAAACGGAAGCAAAGCATAGACTCGCACATCAAAATTTACACGGGAGAGAAACCGTTTGGCTGTGGGTTCTGTGGCAAAAGAGTTAAGTACCTGTACAATCTTAAATCACACATGAGGGTCCACACGGGAGAAAAGTTATTTGGCTGTGACATTTGTGGAAAAAGGTTTACGCATCACCAGAATCTGAAGACTCATGTGACAATCCATTCAGGGGAGAAACCGTTTGTGTGCGATATTTGTGGCAAAAGAGCAAGGCATCAGAATAATCTAAAGATACACATGATAGCCCACACAGGAGAAAAACCGTTTGGGTGCGACGACTGCGGTAAAAGATTTAAACGGAAGACTCATCTGACGACGCACATGACCGTCCACACGGCAGAAAAGCCATTCGGCTGCGACGTGTGTGGCAAAAGATTTAACCGCAAATCCCACCTTAGGACGCACATGATCGTTCACACTGGGGAGAAACCGTACGGTTGCGATGTTTGTGGCAAGAAATTTAACCGAAAAACGCACCTGGAGTCTCACATCACGGTTCACACAGGAGAGAAACCGTTTGGTTGCGCCATTTGTGATCAAGGATTTACTCAGCAGGGAAGTTTAAATCGACACATGAGATTTCACTTGGGGTAGAAACGTGGTCACAGTCACGGAGTTTGGTCTGAAAGGGTCAAAGTGTCGCTGAAAGCCACAGCAGAGGCTCTGAGAGTTATTGCTCTCTTCATCTGTGTCTACAGTTTCGAGACTCTTTTTGTTTTTGTGATTAATCTTGACATTCTTGACATTTTATGTTACAAGTTAAGAATTGTGGCAGCACGGTGGCGCAGCAGTTACCACAGTGCTGCCCCACAGAAAGATTTGAACCTACTTCCCCTCTGGGGCACCCTGTGTGGATGCCCTTGGACTTCCTCAGGGTACCCCAGCTTTGTGCCACAGTCAGAGGACATGCTTGTTAGATAAATGGGTAACTCTAAATTTGCCTTAACTGTGAATGAGTGTGTATGGTTGTCTGGACAGGCCCTGTACCCCTCTGTGGGAGCTGTTAGGGCTCCAGCCCCACAACCCTGCACTGGATTGGCAAGAGCAGTTAAAGTGATCGGCTGTAATGACATCATTTATGGATTCGGTCATCTCCTGCGTTGGATGAGGCTCTGGTCTCTTTATCGTCCTGCAGTGCTTTTTGTTTGTTTGTTTGTTTGTTTTGTAGGTGTCCCAAAACTATTTACTGGCCATTCTTGGCCCCTGCTTCATGAAACACGACTTTAAATAAAACTTTAAAAAAACCTGTGGCTCACAGTGTCCCGGAGCCCGCAGAAGACTCTCTTTTGAGCTGATGTAAGACTTCAGTGTGGAGCATTAACAAGTATTCTGTTGTTGTGGATGGTTTGTCTCTTCCTGCCATATGATGGCATTTGTCTCTGCCTGTCAGGGACATTCAGCACGAACTGTTACTGTGAGCAGCCAAACAAACGCTGTCTACGCTGGGAGAATTTGGATTATTGTTAACTCTGAGGTGCCTCCGATTTTGTTTGCTTTCTCTGAGCATTTGGAGCGAGAAATGCCGACTGAAGTCAGACTCATCAAGCGGATGGTTTACAAGGTGCAGCGCTCCACCAGCTGGAAAGCTTAAGGCAGTCAACAAAGTTTGACCACAAAATTAATTCTGTTTTGTACGTTTGTCTCCTAATCATGTCTCCAGCTGTCACAGCTGCACTGATTCAGCACTTGTATCTCCTAATCCAGCCGTTATTTTTCATTTATTCATCATTATTTATAATTATTAATCTTTTTTTTATTATTTTGATTAACCTAATGATCATTGGAGAAAAATGTTTCCCTCTGTGCCGATTTTGTTTGAGATAATTGACTGAAGCATTTTGTGTGTTATGAATTTGGGAGAACATTCATGGATCTATAATCCTGAAAATTTCAATAATTTCCTAAATGATGATCAAAACTAAATGTAACATTTTGGCTGAAGATGATGAATTGAAAAATATTAATTTAATGTTTGTATTTATTGGATTCCTTAATTGAATTTAGGTGAAAGTTACCTAATTAGTATTTGAAATTATTTTTAGGGGAAATACACTTAAAAAAAAAAAAGAGATAATGAAGGATTTATTTTTTAATTAATTTTGAGTTTGAACCAACATGTAGCGTCATTAGTAGCCTTGCACTTTACGTTTTTTCCACATTTTCAGCCTCAAGCTTTGAGTTTTGACTTGATCACCACTTTGGTTTGTCCAGCAGATGGCAACAGTGTGACAAAAAAAGAGATGCAAGGCTGGCACTCTGTTTGCTGTTGTATACTTGTGTTGTTCATGCATCTTTAGTTATTAATCAAGTCAAGACAATAGCTTGTTTATTATAAATTTGAAAGAATGACAGTGTTACATTAAAGTGTGTAAATGAAAATAAACCCTTTTCCCACCAAGTCCAGTGTTGGTTTCATTTTCTCGATTGTTGAACTTGTTGAGAAAACAGAGATGAAGCTAAGCTCCTGTTGTGCAAAGCATTTGATAAGAAATGCAGCAGTGTGCATTTACAGCGTGTTTAAAAACAGATTCTAATGTTTGCACACAAAATGATTCATAACTGGTTCTTTGTCTTTGCCTTCCAAGATTAATTTTTCTCAGTCCAAACCTGTTAGTTTCTTAGACACTGATTTGGTAACGAGCATCCTCGCACTCCTTCAGTATCTGTTCTGTCCTCCTGCTCTCTCGCACGCTCTGTCCTAACATGACGTGACATCAGAAATCATCTTCATGACTTACATATTAGCAGCTTCTCAAATTATTACACAAGCCACTGTTAATGCATGGCTGCCAAATAGAGAGAGAGACACACACCTGTGTTATTGATGTCGTGCTCCGTGAGTGAAGCATCAACTTTCTTCATCCGTGGCTGAAAATCCTCTAACGCTCCGTGATTAACACGTTTTCCTTTCTGTTTATTCTGTGCAGAAACCAAAGTGCAAAGAGGACGCGTCACAGTTTCAGAGAGGGATTGTAAAAGCAGATGGTTCCTGTATTTCTCTGCCTTGCACCGTAAATAAGGACATTTTCCAAAATATTACAATATTACTTTATTTTCTTTCAGCATTTTCATTCAATCATTTCTTTATTTTTCCTTCTTTCTATTTCTCCAGTCTGGTTTCCTTCCCTTATTATCTTCTGTTTTTACTTCAGTTCTTTATTGTTTTTCTTCAATTCTGTTTTCTTGTCAGAAGGGAAATGTGGTTTTTACAAGCTGCCAATTACAACTTTCAATAAAAGATTTTACACAAATATCAACTTTATAAAAAGCCGTTGCACTCCAAACTGCGTGCGCCCTGTAATCATCTCAGACTTGAAACAGTCGAACAAGCTGATGCTCTGAGTAATGCGATTATATTATAAAGATGACGATGTGTTTAATAAGATTAATTAAATAGAAGGAATAAATATTGTGAGCCAACCTCTGAAGCTCAGTAATGAAAACATATCTTATTAGTGTGTGAAAACAACGCTTCATAGCTTCACAGGGAGTTTTAAAAACTGAGCTTTCCTGCAAATGACTTCTGGCTGCAGCAGTGTTTATCTTCACAAGAAAGGAAATAAGCTCATCTTCCAGAATGTCGCACTATTACTTACAAATTCTTCTTTATTTCTTCGTCTCTTTCCAGTTCGCTTCCTGCTTTTATTCGTTTCTCGTATCCATTCTGGGGTCCTGGATGTATTTCTATGCTCCCTTTTGCTTCAGGCCTTATTTATATATTATTTATATTCTTTGTTCTGCTTTTCTAACATTTGAATCTTTTCATGTTATCTGTAGGATCAGAGGAATGAAGCTGTCACATAATATGCACTCACTGGACAGTTCAAAGGTACAGGGTGCTGGTACCAGGTTGGATGCCTTTTTACCTTCAGAATGTTTTAATTCCTTGTGCCACAGATTCGAAAAGTTGCTGGAAACGTTCCTTAACACACCGTTGCTGCAGATTTGTCGGCTCCATGTCGAAGATGGAGGCCATGTGAGTACAGTGAACTAACTGCGAAGCTCAAGAACCCAGCTGTGGTGTTTAAACGATGCTCAGCTGGTACTAAAGGGCCCAAAGTGTGTCAAGAACATATCCCCTACACTTGCCAAGGCAGGATGAATCGGTGGTTTCATGCTTTCCAAGTTCTCACCCGTTCATCCAAATGCTGCAGCAAAAATCAAGATTCATTAAACTGGGTAACATTGATGAGTGTGTATGAACTGTAGCCTCAGTTTCCTGTTCTTATCTGACAGGAGTGACCTGGTGTGCTCTTCTGCCGCTTCAGCCCTTCAAGGCTTTGATATGTTGTGTATTCAGAAATGCTCTTCTGCATGCCCTGGCGTTGCCTTTCTATCAGCCTGATCTCCTCTGACTTCAGACATCAAGAAAGCATTTTCACCCAGAGAGCTCAGAGAAGAGAACGTCAGCAGGTCATCTTGAACATGTTTACATACCTGAGTATACTGAGTCACAACCATGTGATCAATTCATTGGATATTTGTGAGCGGCCATGAGGAAACAAGTAATCAAGTGTTCTTTATTGTTTTTGTCTGGGCTAAGTTTTTGTTGCCAAATAGCTGTAACAAAGCTCCAAATCAGAACTCAAAAATCTGTTATAACATATCTGAAGAGATCTGAATCATAGCTGTGAACATAATGGCCTGTGGCCACCAAGACTTCCTAAAATAGCCTTTTTGAATCTTTTATTAATTTAACCTGCTAGTGAAAAACAAAATGGGCCTAATTCCCGATCAGTGTGTGGCCAGTCAGTTAGTCTCTTGTCTAATATAGAAAAGATTACTAGTAGCTGAGTTACTGAGTAGCTGTTGAAGAGTCCAAAGTTTTAAACCACAAATGTGAACTCTTGCAAGCTGAATACAGATTTTTGCATCAGTAAAACTTTATTATTATCTCCTGCCATAATACTCAGACCGGCCATCCTGGCATCAACCTCCATGCTGAGGTTAAGTCACTTTTTTTCTCCATTCTGATGTTCAGTTTGAGCTTCAGCCGGTCACCTTGACCACATCTATGTGCCCAAATTTACTGAGTTTCAGCCATAATTGGCTGATTAGATGTTTGCATGAATGGATGGTTAAACAGGTGTACCTAATGAAGTGCATGTGAGTGTAGATCAGAAAGCCCCCTGAAGCAGGTTTGTGAATAATTTCTTTTGCTTTTTGCTTCCTTTTTCAGCTTATTGTAACTCTCAGTCATCATAGACGGAAATCCCATCGCTAACTTTATATTTTGGAGAAAGCCAAAATAACCTTTTTTAATACAAAACATGAATAATTCCTTGTTCCTTTATTGCCATGACTCAGGAGAACAATTTCAGTTAAAAAACACAAATATTCTGAGTGCCTAGGGTTAAGGTTAGGATTAAGGCTGATGGCTGCAGAGGATTAAACTAAGTTTAGAAAAACAACTTTTAGACTTTTCTCCAAATACTTTTCCATTTTCGTCATTTGGCTTAAACTGGTGGAACATTTCTTCCTCCCCTGTCCTTGAAACTTTAAAAATGCTGATCAGTCACCCAACAAAAACGCCGGTAAGGACGTCCAGAGCTTAATTTTGAATCGCACTCTAACATGCAGCAATTTGTTTCTCATTTTTTTGGCATTGTTGCTGTTATTTCACGCTCTGATTTAGTTTAACCTCAATTACCTGGTTGGATGATTAGTCACAGTAAGATTACTCCTGCTGGATATTTCGAGTCCCTCTCTTAATAATGTGCTGATCTCAGAGTACTCATCGTCTCAAGCGTACTCAAGCTTAACTTAAATCATGTGCATTCAGAGACTGTTTTCTAGAGACTGCAGGTTAGCATCGGCATGTGATTTATGTTGTGGAACAAGCTGTGCAAACAGCACAAATGATGCAGCAGATGACGTGAAGGCGACCAGTGAAGCTGCTGCGGCGCATGAAGCAGGGTATTGCTGCACTTCCACTGGTTGTTTCATCACTCCGCTCCCTCCCCAGTTTCACACCATCATTTACACATCAAGGCCTGGAGAAACAAGTTGTTTTCACTGTTTGCCTAAAGGTTATAAATACACAGCATAAATAAAACAGGACCATTCTGCAGTTCTAAAGAAACGGGACACATCTTGTTTACCGCTCTAACAAATTAACACTGTGATTGGGGGAAAAAAAATGAGAACAACACTGACATATTGGAAATCGATACCAGTAACTGACTCTGCAGACCAGGCACAAGGTCCTATTTACCATCTCCAGCATGTCCTGTGTTACTCACCAGATTCAAGGTTTCCTGCTACAGACCCTCCCCCTCTTTCAATCTCATATATACGGGAAGGATGCAGCCACCGGTGGCCTTGCACCCGTCTTTCTCTCCTCGGCGGAGCCATTAAAGCCT